ACTATGAATTAATTGAAGTAATACAATTGATAAAATAAAATTAAAATCATTTTTAATTATTGGTTTTAGTTTTTATACATAATGTATAATTATAAATTTGTTAGTTCTGAAGCAGTCATGCCCAAGTTGTAATATTTCTGAGAATCGAATTAGATATGTAAAAATTAAGTATCAATCAGAATTGCACTATTTTAAATCATAATTAAAACCTTTGGTATATTTTTTGAAGTACGAACTTTTTTTAATACGTGTTAAAATTGTAAAATTTATAACTTAATCAATTTATGAATTGAATAAATTCTGCGCAGAAATTCTCCAAAATGTGGGTGAAATCATGGAAGATGAAATATTGAAATTGGCAAAAGCATATTGCTCTGATACCGGTTTATATGAGAAAAACGTGGAAAAGCGGCAAACCTTTCTAATAAATAATAGGCAAAACAAATTAACTAAGTAAGATAAGAACAGAAATAATAATAGTGATGATCAAAAGATCATTCAATTGTATTAGGTTTAGCCAGCCTAATTAGCCCAGAAAATAAGGCCCACTATGATTAAAATTGTAAATGGACCCTTTTGATAAAAGTGATTGAAATTTTGACAAAAGCAAGACAAAGTTATAAAAGCTTTATCCACTTATCAATGAGCGCTAAAATGCTTAAAAATCAAAAACTAAGGCCTATATGAAACAATGCGTTATGAATGGGAAAATTTCCGAATGAAGTTTCTAGAGTTAAAATTGCATCTCAAATTAATAATTTTGAACTTTCATTTTCAACTTTAAGAAAATTAGCAAAAAATACTATAAAGAACTGTTTGATCGCCTGGCACAAGTGCTAATATCGTACTAAAAATAAGTTAAATATGAGGAAAATGGGGGTTGCAAAATCTTATTAATAAAAACAAACCAAAAGTTTGGAAATGATATAAGAAATGAAGAAATAAATAAATATTTTTTATGTATATTTTTACATAATATTGCTTATTAAATTACAGTCTGATAATTGAGTACTTGTGGAATTAAATTGGTAAAATAATTAAAGGGGCGCAACAAAAACAATCTATTTAGGAGGAGTCCATTAATCATGTGAGGATTTTAGGGGGGAGAGTTTGACAAAAAATCACATAATATTACGTGAGGGCGGGAGGTGTATAGTAAGATATCACGTATATTTAATTTTTATTTGATTTTTTTTTTTAAATTCAAACATTTTTAAAAAAATCCTAAATTTTACATTTTTTTCTTATAACTAAAAATACACGAGAGAGGAGGGGGAATTTTAAGTATTACTAAGTGGGAGGGAGTCAAAAAATACCTAAAACTTGATCACGTGATTATTGGACGCCCTCTTATAAAAACTGAAGGGGGGAGAGATGACGTGCTAGAATGTTGGGAACCACTGGGTTAGTGCATTTATAAAAATAACATGTTTTATAACTGCTATATCTATAATTGTAAAATACAAAATTGTGGGTAAAGTATTATACAATTATGAATTGCCGTATTGTGGCGAGCATAGCACATTTAGTAGCGTGTTCGGGATCTTTGGACCGAATCCTGTCACTGAATTTGAAATTAAATAAAATTGTATTTGTTAAGTAGAAATTAAATAAAACTAAAGAAAAATAGGAATTACAGAATTCGAATAGCTGGATTGTATTAGGAGTAAGAAGGAAAACATTAAAATTTGCTGAAAGAAGAATGAAGATGCTGAAAGTAAGAATGAATTTGCTAAAAGAAGAATGAAGTAAAAAATGGAATGAAGATAGAAGTTGAATAGAATTAGAAATTTGAAAAAAGCAAAAATTGAAAAAAATAAAAAGGAAAATTAGGAAGAATATTATAAGATTGAAAAATTAGAATTTAAATAAAAAAAATGTTGTAAGTGGCTAAATGCTCAGAGTAAACGCGGCCGAATACAATTAAAATAAAAAAAAAAAATTGTACAGGTGACATGTCTACAATTGTAAAATGCAAAATTAAGTGTAAAGTTATTACACAATAATGAATTATCATTTACAAGTTAGTTTTTTTGTGTGCGTAACCTTCAGTAAACGAGTTTAGCTCGCATTTGGTTCGATTCTCCTTTTCCGATTTTCCGGAATTCTTCGCCAATCGAATCGATCTATACTACTACTACTCTTAAGAAGTAACTTACCGGCCGCGTGGTGTGGCGGTGCGGTGTAGGCGATGCGTTTGTTCTCATTGTTATCTCGGCCGGTTACTCGATCATTATCACAGTCTGAGTCTCAGGCCCAGTCGGCCCTCATCCGTGGCCAGTGCAACACCTTAAAAAAATATTAAAAAAATCTTTGTTATCATCCTATTATTTATTCCACGGTCCGGTAACAGTTGATAGTTTAGATAGATATTTATTAGAACGGTTTGAAATTTTATTCGTTTGTGACAAAATTGTTATCTATTGACGAGTGTACGGTTTTGCTAAAATTTTCTGTGATTCAAAAACACTTAAGACAAGTGATGACTGTGTATTGATAAGGATTTTGAAATCAAAATAACTACACGTGCATTAAGAGGTAGGATATCTTATTTGTCAACATGTTTTTATTACATATCATAATAGAATAATAATAAATAAAAATAAAAACAAAATATTCAGAATGTTAAAAAAATTTAAAGTTTCAGAAAATTTTAAAAAAAGGTTACTGAAAAAAAATTATATTATATATGTACAATTTTCGTCAATTATTTTTAATATATCATCAGATGGTTTTAGAAAGTTTTAAGAAAAGGTTACTGAACAAAAAATATATTATATATGTACAGTTTTCGTTAATTATTTTTAATATATCATTTGCAATAATAAAAATAAACACAGAACTTTATTGCACACTTATCTTATTAAAAATAGCACTATTATTGAATTATATAATAAACTAAAATGCATTGAAATTTATTTATTATTTCAATATATGGTACTGAAAATAATTTACGATACATTAAATAGTCTATATAATAAAATAATCTATATAATACACAATTTTTCATATCAGATTTTCACATTTCGATCGTTTATTGTTAATAATTTCTACATGCATTTGATAATTCTATAAAAATCTATCAAACTAAACTAAAATTATGTGAAAACATGCACTTAAATTTATAGTATATTAACAAGATATTTATTTGAAAGTATTAAATTTGAATTCAATTATTTAAGTATTTTATTTGATATGAGTATCATGATGATTATCATAATTTTAAGTTTTTAATGGTAAATTTAGATTTTTAATTTTTAATACTTATGATCCTTTTTATTTTTATTTATGTTAAATACATTACACTTATGTTATATACATTTATACCTTTTTTCATCTAGGTTATAAATTATTTTTTTTTTCTATATAATGATTTGGTTAATTTATTATTGATTTGTTGCCTAACAAAGTTAAGCGATTGTTAAATTTTGGGCTGCTTAACTAATTTTAGTTTATTTATTTGTTTCACTAGAAAAATAGTAATAATAAAATGAATAACATAAAGGTTTTGGATAATAAAATAATTAATAGAGCCGACCATTGGGTTATCATCTAAAAAGCTACGTAGTTTAGAAAAATCTTCATAGAATCTTATAGGACTTCATAGAATCTTATAGGAATTGCTGTCCAAAAATAATTTATCACAAAATATTTTTTCATATATTATTATTTTCATATCTTGTTGTTTATTTATAATATTATTTTAAAATACTATTTTGTTGATTTTCTCCTATAATTCTGATAAGTTTAGTTTAGTAAAAGATATGTAATTTTATATTTTCTACATGAGTGATATAAATCATGCAATTCTTATTTAGTTCTGTCCAGAATACTTTTTCAAGGCTTGTATTAATATCATTTGAGATTTTGATTTAAAGTTTATCTTCTAATTTATGTAATTTTGAGCTACTTTCTAATTTAATACTCAGTATTAGCGTTGCATAATATTTACTTCAGATCTAATATTAGTATTGCAAATAAAACACTGCACTCGCTAATTAAATTTATGAATTTTGCAGACACAATTTTTGAACCGTTTATTTGAACTATCAGCTCATAGTATCTTCCAAGTTTGCAAAAAAATATAAAAAATAAACGTAAATAAATTTTTGAGTAAAAATTTTGTTGGAGAAGTTTCAAAAAAACAAAAATTATATTTTTATAAAATTAATATAAGTAAAATTAATATATATTAGTAAAAGATATTTTATTTTTAATTTTCTTCATTTTTATAATATCAGTTTGCTAATTTAATTAAATGGAGAGGAAGATCAACAACCAAGTCAATAAATCAATCAGCATCGAGATATTGCACTTTTGATAAGAAAATACTTGGAACTAAAGATTTTGTTGCAGGATATGAAAATATGTATATTATAGTGTTTGATTTTTTATATTAATACATCATAAAAAATTGCAATAAATTTTGTTATAACATCAAATCAAATATGGATTGTACTAAATAATTTTATTCTATCATATTTCTATATACATACATATATATTGAATGAATTATATATTTCTATATTATTATTAAAGAGAGACAATATATTTCATACACCATTTAAAAATATTAAATAGAAATTAATTAAATTATTTCCTAGAATACATTACTGTTTAATGTTACCAAAAGTTTAGATCTATTTGATCTGTTATATTGATAAATGATTTTTTAATTGACTCACAAATTTGCTACTTGCTTTAATCAATAAACTTGACATATTTTCAATAGGTTCTTCTTAGCCCATTGACACATTTAACTGTTTGAACAATTGAAGAGTTGTTGTACTTTGCACTTCTGTAAACTAAAATTTTGAAGTAGATCTACAAAGTAGGGATATATAATGTAGTAGGCAAAGGAAAATGATATGTAATAATTACTATACACATTTGGAAGCAAAATAAACAATCAAATAATTTTTAAATGAAAATTGCTTTGTCAGTATCAAGTTTCAATTACCATTCTACGCTCGAGCAAATTTTCAACCCATCTTTTCCGC